CCCTGGCCAGTCTGTGTGAGGGGCTGAGGGCCGTTTTCAGGCTGGCGGGTGACTGAAGCTCCCAACCTGTCCTTTTTTTCTTTTTTTTTTATTCTGGGACAGCTTTAGCTCTGAGGCTTGGCTCCAGCTCTGAGGCCTCGGCTGCTGAAAGCAGGTATCTGGTTTGTTTGGGTTCTATAATTGTAACACTGTTGCGGTCCTGCTCACTCCAGCTCTGAGATCCCGGCTGGCTGAAAGCAGGGATCTGCGTTTGTTCTACAATTGAAACAATGTTGCGGTCCTGCTGGCTGAAGCCTGGCTGGCTGAAATCAAGTTTCTGGGGTTTTGTTTAGCTTCTATATTTGTAACAATGATTCTTAAACTGCAAGCTCAGAGGCCGGCAAGGCAGGCGGGGAATGTTGGCTTCCTCCATCACTGAAGCAAGCAAGCCTCCTGTTCGCTTCAAGCTGCCTGGCTGCCGGCCGCCATCTTGGTTGGCAGTTAATTTGCATATTGCCCTGATTAGCCAATGGGAAGGGTAGTGGAGGTATGGCTAATTACCATGTTTCTATATTATTAGATAGGATAAGTGGTATAATTTAAAGTAGTACTTGATTATACTAAAGTTGCATAACAAAAATTTTTGCATTGTATTTGGTTTCTTTTTTTCTTTTTCAACTTCACTTTGCCAATTTTTGACTGAAAATGTGAAAGTGGAGGTATACATTTAAGATGGGCAGGAGAATGTATTTGTGGGAAGGAGAAGTGGATGAGCAGAATGGGGTAAACTCAGTCACTTTAACAATTAAAGCACTGGGCTGGAAAAATTTATGGATTCTAAAATGTAACTAATCTCAGAATCTCAGTTAATTTGCCTCCTGGGATTCCTTAGCTGGCTGTGTGTTTTCTGTTTTTATTTATTTATTTATTTTAATCCTCCCCTGAGGATATGTTTTTATTGATTCAACAGAGAGAGAGAAACATAGATCAGTTGCATCTGTATGCTCCCTGACAGGAAATCAAACCTGTAATCTAGGTATGTGTCCTGACCAGGAATTGAACCCACAACCTTTTGGTGCATGGGACGATAGTCCAACCAACTAGTCCACCTGGCCAGAGCTCTCTGTTTTTATTCTTGATTTCCCCCAATGACTCTTGAACTCCTTGTTATAACATTTCTCCTTTGCAGTGATAATTAGGTATTGTATTTTTCACTTTATCCAGTTCTTTGGCTCCCCTGAGTTCATTTGTGGTCTCCCATAATTGGAATATGACCTTGACTTACTGTTGTCTGGGAGTTTGCTGTTTCCCTAGAGAGATCACTTTTTCCATCATAATCTCAGTCTAGCACTCAAAAAAGATAAGGATTTCTTTTTTTGCTAGCATAGGTACATCATTGCCCATTCCTATCTCTAATTTTATATTTATAATAGAGGCCCAGTGCATGAAATTCGTGCACGAGAGGGGGTCCCTCAGCTTGGCCTCTGCCCTCTCGCAGTCCGGGACCCCTTGCTCCTTACTACTCAACTCACTGCTCCTTAGCGCTACCATTGAGACGGGAGAGACTCCCACCACCGCCGCTGTGCTTGCCAGCTGTGAGCCCAGCTTCTGGCTGAGTAGTGCTCCCCATATGGGAGCACACTGACCACCAGGGGTCAGCTCCTGCCTTGAGTGTCTGCCCCCTGGTGGTCAGTGCACATCATAGCAAGCGGTCGTTCTGGTCATTCTTCCGTAATGGTCGCTTAGGCTTTTATTATATAGACTAGAGGCCCGGTGCACAAAAATTTGTGCACTCGGGGGGGAGGGGGGGCCCCTCAGCCCAGCCTGTGCACTCTCGCAGTCTGGGACCCCTCGGGAGATAACGACCTGCTGGCTTAGGCCTGCTCCCGGGTGGCAGAGGGCAGGCCCAATCCCTAGGTGCAGCCCCTGGTCGGGCTCAGAGCAGGGCCGATTGGGGAGTTGGGGCACTGCCCCCTGTCATGCACAGAGCAGGGCGGATTGGGAGGTTTCGATGCCACCCTCAGTCACGCTCAGGGTAGGGCCGATTGGGGGGGTTGGGCACCGCCCCCTGTCACACTCAAGGCTGGGTCGATGGGGAGGTTGCGGCCCCACCCCCTGTCACGCACATAGGCAGGGCCAATCAGGGGTTGGGCGCTGCCCCTTGTCACCCACAGAGAAGGTCGATCAGGGAATGGGGAGCTCCCTCTTGTCACGCACAGAGCAGGGCCATCAAGGGGTTGGGCTCCTACC